TTCTCTACACAACACACTCCCCATTCTCCTCTCGTTTTCTTCTGGTTACCAGAAGAAATTTTCTTCTAGTTTACTATTTCTAGTTACTAGAAAATTTATTCTAGTCTACTTCTAGTTACTAGAAGATTTCTTCTAGTTTACTATTCTTTCAAATCTCAGCTCATAGTCAATTCCCAGGTCGAAACCCTCTGGAAGTGCCTTCATAATACCTTGCACCTTTCTTTCAGAGCATGCCTTGTTGTTGTAATTTTACACTTGTTTATGAATTATTTGACTGTCTTTCTTTTATATGAGACTGTCAGCTCCTTGAGGGAAGAGACCCTATCTAGATTTGTACACCATGATATCCTCATTGGTAGAGAGCTACCACCCAATACATATTTGTTAAATATATAAAGGATTGGTGTTAAAATATTGCATAAACAATCAACAACTTTTCATTAAAAAAAAACAAAAAATGCACAATATAGAAGAAAAACTAAGAAAAAATAAATTTAGATGAGAGGTAGTCAGGTATATGATCAAAATTACTATTTTTTTAAAAAAAGACTATTAATCTAAAAATTAAATTGGCCATCTTCACATTAACAATGGCCAAAATGGAATATGGGCTGAAATGGGATACAGGAATGAGGGCTGGGAAGAGAGCTAAGACTGGAGGCATGGTTGAGTTTGTTGATTTATGTGACTTCAAGATATGGAATCAAGTTAGAATTGGATGTGGATTTATGGCTTGGAATCAGATTTGGGATCTGAGTCAAGATTCTGAGTCAACATTGAGGTCTTATAAAGATGATTTTGGCTACAAGGACCAAGCAACTCTAACCAAGAAAGGGAATCTGAAAAAGTTTTGACATGAAGAGGCTCCATCATTGGTTAATTCACCAGCTCAGTGACTTCATCAAAGACCCAGCTGATCCTCACCTCTCTGGTGGGCTACCTGCAGTGTTTTGACTTGGTCCTCTGGTCACTTCCCTCTGTGGTCCCTGGAGTGCTGGCACAGTCCAGAATTTGCATCCAGAAAAGACACCATCTAGCAGAAGAAAAAAGACCCCTTTCAGTGCCTCTTTTAAAAAATGAGAAAGTCTTTCCCAGAAGTGCCCCAGTGGTCTTCCCCTCCTCCTCATTGGCCAGAAGAGCAGCACATGTCCATTTGCAAACTAATCAAGCAAACAAAATATGGCTTTGATGCTTGGTTCATTGAGGCTTATAGTCCTGATGAGGATAAAGTATTATCCAAACAAAATGGAGCCTCTGATAGAAAGACAGAAGGAGTGAATGCTTGGGTACACAACAAAAATGTCTACTATTATGGGTCAAATGTAGAATTGAGTTGGGGTGCCAGGCGCGGTGGCTCACACCTATAATCCCAGCACTTTGGGAGGCCGAGGTGGGCGGATCACCTGAGGTCGGGAGTTCCAGACCAGCCTGACCAACATGGAGAAACTCCATCTCTACTAAAAGAAAAAAAAAAAAATTAGCCGAGCGTGGTGGTACATGCCTGTAATCCCAGCTACTCGGGAGGCTGAGTCAGGAGAATCGCTTGAACCTGGGAGGCGGAGGTTGCAGTAAGCCGAGATCGCGCCATTGCACTCCAGCCTGGGCAATAAGACCAAAACTCCATCTCAAAAGACAAAAAAAAAAAAAAAAAAAAAAAAGATTTGAGTTAGGGGTCAGGATTGAGATAAGGTTTAGGTCTGGGGTAGAGGAATAAATCCCATTTTGGGGATCTAATTTAGAGGTTGAGGTCAATTCTAACTTTAGGAGTGTGTCCAACAATGGTTCCTGTCTTACTCAAAATAAAAGCCAAAGACCTTTCAGACCCCATGTCATCAGAGTCCTGTTATATTTCTGGCCTCATCACCTGCCCCCATCTCCTTTGGTCACTCTGTTCTGGTCGCAGTGGTTTGTCTGCTGGGGCACTTCAGACATGCTCCCTGGCTAACACACTGGCCCGCTTGCTTTGCCTGGAACTCACTACCTTCAAGCAGCCACCTGGATCCCTCCACCATCTCCTTCAAAATTTTGCTCAAATATCACCTTCCCATGGGGTCTTTCCAACCAACCTTCCTGATATCATAACCTCAGGAATCCTTGAGGGTAGAGGGAGTCAGTAACTCCCCAACCCTCTTCCTTGCTTAGATTTTCCCTCATAGCACTTACAACCACCTAACAAACTCTACATTTTATATGCTTATTTTTGTACTGACCTGACAGTACAAAACGAGAGCCTCTATGAAGACAGGAATATTTTTTATCTGTTTTATCACTGCTGTGTCTCTGAGAGCCTGAATAGTTTCTGGCACAGAGTAGATGCTCAGTGGATGTTGTTTGAATGAATACAATGAACAAAGACGAATGTACAAAGAAGTTCATCTCGGCATTACTATAATTAAAACTATCCAAGTGTATTTCAATTTGAGGCAGATGACATGTACCATGATACAAGCATAGTATGGAATATTACATAACCATTATAAAGGAAGAAAAAGCAATCTAAATGTACTAAGAGGGAAAAGTTTTTCTCTTTTTAAAAAATAAATGTTATTGTGTATATTTAAAGTGTACAATATGATTGAATGTGATGTATATACATAGTACAATGATTACTATAGCTGAACAAATTAACATATCCATCATCTCACATAGTTACCCATTTTCCTCCCCTGTGGCAAGAGCAGCTATAATCTACTCATTTAGCAAAAATCCTCGGCTGGGCGCGGTGGCTCAGGCCTGTAACCCCAGCACTTTGGGAGGCCGAGGCCGGTGGATCACCTGAGGTTAGGAGTTGGAGAGCAGCCTGACCAACATGGTGAAATCCCATCTCTACTAAAAATACAAAAATTAGTTAGGCATAGTGGTGCACACCTGTAATCCCAGCTACTCGGGACACTGAGGCAGGAGAATCACTTGAACCCGGGAAGCGGAGGTTGCAGTGAGCCAAGATCATGCCATTGCACTCCAGCCTGGGTGACAGAGCCATATTCCATCTTAAAAAAAAAAAGGGCCGGGCGCGGTGGCTCACGCCTGTAATCCCAGCACTTTGGAAGGCCGAGGCGGGTAGATCACAAGGTCAGGAGATCGAGACCACGGTGAAACCCCGTCTCTACTAAAAATACAACAAATTAGCCTGGCGCGTTGGCGGGCGCCTGTAGTCCCAGCTACTCAGGAGGCTGAGGCAGGAGAATGGCGTGAACCCGGGAGGCGGAGCTTGCGGTGAGCCGAGATCGCGCCACTGCACTCCAGCCTGGGTGACAGAGCAAGACTCCGTCTCAAAATAAATAAATAAATAAATAAATAAATAAATAAATATAAATAAATAAATAAAATAAATAAATAAATAAAAAGAAGAAAGGTTCTTCTCTTCCATGTGTCCATGTAGTCTCATCATTTAGCTCCCACTTGTAAGTAGCAAGTTGCCATATTTGGTTTTCTGTTCCTGCACTGGTTTGTAAGGGTAATGGCCTCCAGCTCCATCCATGTCCCTGCAAAGGACATGATCTTGTTCTTTTTTATGGCTACATAGTATTCCATGGTGTATATGTACCACATTTTCTTAATCCAGTTTATTACTAATGAACATTTAGGTTGATTCCATGTCTTCGCTATTGTGAATAGTGCTACAATGAACATACGTGTGCATGTGTTTTTAAACAGGATGATTTATACTCCTTTGGGTACACACACTGGGGCCTATGAGAGGGTGGAGGGTGGGAGGAAGGAGAGGATCAGAAAAAAATAACTAATGGGCACTAGGCTTAATACCTGGGTGATTAAATAATCTGTATAACAAACCCCCATGATGCATATTTACCTAGGCAACAAACCGGCACATCCTGCCCGTGTACCCCCGAACTTAAAAGTTAAAAAAAAGAAAAATAAATATTAGCTTAATAAATTCATAACTGAAGCCCTAAGGAAAGGTTCTATTAGATAATGTTTAGTACAGATATTTTTGTTATAAATAAATAATATACAAAGAAATCTATGTATAACATGATTAAAATGACCATGAGAACATAGATCCTAAATAGGGCAAATATTAGTGGGGTAGAGTTAGGGAAAGCGTTGTTTTTAACTTACACCTCTCTATTAGAGTTGGGAATGGGTTCAGGCTTACAGGCACGACTGGGATCAGCTTGGACAAGTTCCCACAGGCAGGCCAGAATTAGGATGCAGGGTCTAGGCCACCCCTGAGAGGGGGTGAGGGCAAGAAAACAACCCCAGAAGCCGGGCGCGGTGGCTCATGCCTGTAATCCCAGCCCTTTGGGGGGCCGAGGTGGGCGGATCATGAGGTCGGGAGATCGAGACCATCCTGGCCAACATGGTGAAACCCTGTCTCTACTAAAAATACAAAAAATCTGGGAATAGTGGTGCCTGCCTGTAATCCCAGCTACTCAGGAGGCTGAGGCAGAAGAATCGCTTGAACCCAGGAGACAGAGGTTGCCGAAATCATACCACAGCACTCCAGCCTGGCGATAGAGACTCCGTCCAAAAAAAAAAGAAAGAGAAGGAAGCAAGGAAGGAAGGAAGGAAGGGAGGGAAGAAGGGAGGGAGGGAGGGAGGGAGGAAGGAAGGGAGGGAGGAAGGAAGGAAGGAAAAGAAAGAAAGAGACAGAGAAAGAAAGAAAGAGGAAGAAAGGAAGGAAGGAAGGAAGAGAAAGAAAGAAAGAAAAAGGAAAGAAAGAAAGAAAAAGAAAGAAAGAGAGAGAGAGAGAAAGAAAGAGGAAGGAAGGAAGGAAGAAAGAGAAAGAAAGAAAAAGGAAAGAAAGAAAGAAGAAAGAAAGAAAGAAAGAAAGAAAGAAAGAAAAGAGAGAAAGAAAGAAAAAGAGAAAGAAAGAAAGAGAGAAGGAAAGAAAAAGAGAAAGAAAGAAAAAAGAAAGAAAGAAAAGAAAGAAAGAAAGAAAGAAAGAAAGAAAGAAAGAAAGAAAGAAAGAAAGAAAGAAAGAAAGAGAGAGAGAGAGAGAAAGAAAGAAAGAAAAGAAAAGAAAGAAAAGAGAATCCAATCACTCCGGACGCTGAGACAGGAGAGGCCCCAAAGAAGGACCCAGCCAGAGCCTATTCCCTGAGCTCAGCCGGTCCTTGAATCCCGCTCCTGCCCCTCAGACCCAGCGCACCGGGTGCCTCCCCTGAGAGCAGCCAGGAGGGACTGTGGGACCGGAACGTGCGGGGGCGCAGGAGCTGGGCACCGCCCGTCCTTCGGAGGGAGGGTGGAGAGAGAGTGCAGTGGTGCCAATTGCTCTGGCTGCGTCAGGGGTTCCAGATAGCCAGAACCGCAAAAGCAGGCGGGGGTGTCCCAGAGTCAGCTCTGCCTGCACCCCAGGGCACTGGGGCCGGGCGTGGGGCGGGGGGTGGTATAAGAGGACCGCCCAGCAGACGGCTGGGGATCTTGGAGCCCAGCTGTGTGCCAGCCCAAGTCCGAACTTGGATCACATCAGATCCTCTCGAGGTGAGAAGAGGCTTCATCAAGGGCGTACCTGTAGGGGAGGGGGCGATGCTGGCTCCGAGCCTGACTCTGCTCCCGAGAGGCAGGCACTCCCGGTCCTGAGCAGTGAGGGCCTGGAAGTCTGCAATTTGGGGCCTTTTAGGGAAAAAGGAACTAGGGACTCAGAAGTTTGGGTTCCATAGGGAGGGGCAAGATCGGAGCCTAGATTCCTGGCTCTCTAGGGATCTGAAGAACAGGACTTTGGGTCTGAGGGAGGAGGGGCTGGGGACCTGGACTCCTGGGTCTGAGGGAAGAGAGGCTGAGAGTCTGGACTCCTGGTTCTGAGAGGAGGGACTGGGACCTGGACCCCTGGGTCTGAGGGAGGAGGGTGCAAGAGTCTGGACTCCTGGGTATGAGGGAGGAGGAGATTAGGGGTCCGGACTTCTGAGTGTGAGGAAGGAGAGACCAGAGAAATTTCTGGGTCTGAGGGAGGAGGGGCTAGGCCCTGGACCCCTGGGTCTGAGGGAGGAGGGGCTGGGCCTGAATTGCCTTCTCCTTCTCAGCTCCAGCAGGAGAGGCCCTTCCTCGCCTTACAGGCCCTGAGCGGCTCAGCAGGGCACCATGGCAGGATCCCTTCTCCTGCCCCTGCAGATCCTACTGCTATCGTTAGCCCTGGGAACTGCCGGACAAGAAGGTGAAAACTGGACTGGGAAGCTTGACCTCACCTCGGGGCCCCCACTGACCCTCTCCAAGGAGTCCCTGAGTCAGAACCCCTCCCTCCTCAAACAGCTTCCGTCCTGGGAGGACCAGACTGTCGGCTGAAGCCCCTGCTCTTCCTGCTTCTGCTGCCTCAGGGGTCTCTGTCCCCTCCAGGCCCTGCCTCCTGTGCTCAGTGTCTCTCTGCGGTTCCCCCAATGAGATGCACCTCCTGGGTTTCTGGGTGGGCTCCTTCTCTGTCTCTATCCCTGTCTCTTGCTTTCTCTGTATTTCTCCACGCGTTTCCGTCTGTCTCTCTCCATCTCTGACTCCGGGAATCCCTGAGGTGCAGCTTCAGCCCTCCCCTGAGGCTGGCTACCCACATGCTCCTCTATGTCTCCATCCAGCCCAGGGTGACAAGATTATTGATGGTGCCCCATGTACAAGAGGCTCCCACCCATGGCAGGTGGCCCTGCTCAGTGGCAATCAGCTGCACTGCGGAGGCGTCCTGGTCAATGAGCGCTGGGTGCTGACTGCCGCCCACTGCAAGATGAAGTAGGTGCCGCCCAAGGCTCTGCTGGAGGTGCGCCAGCATCTCCAACTCCCTGTGGAGAGGTGGGGGGGTGGGGGTGGTTGTCTTTCTGTGCCTAGGGCTCTATCCTCCTGTCTCTGGGTCTCTGTCCCCCTCTCCCTGGATCTCTGTCCTCCTTTCTCTGGCTCTCTGTCCCCCTCTCTCTCTGGGTCTCTGTTCCCCCCTCTTCTCTCTGGGTCTCTGTTCCGTCTCTGCCGCCCTCTCTGGCTCTCTCTGTCCTCTCTCTCTGGGTCTCTGTCCTCTCTCTCTCTGGGTTCTGTCCTCTGGGAAGCCTCTGTCCCCTCTCTGGCCCTGTGTCCCCTCTCTCTGGCCCCCTGCTCCCCTCTCTCTCTGGGTCTCTGTCCTCTCTCTGGCTCTCCTGTCCTCTCTCTCTCTGGGTCTCTGTCCTCTCTCTCTCTGGGTCTCTGTGTCCCCTCTCTCTGGGTTCCTGCCTCTCTGGGTCTCTGTCCCCTCTGGCTCTCTGTCTCTCTCTCTGGGTCTCTGTCCCCCTCTCTGGGTCTCTGTCTCCCTCTCTCTGGGTCTCTGTCCCTCTCTCTCTGGGTCTCTGTCCCTCTCTCTCTGGGTCTCTGTCCTCTCTGGGTCTCTGTCCTCTCTCTGGGTCTCTGTTCCCCTTCTCTCTGGGCCCTGTTCCTCTCTTCTCTCTGGGTCTCTGTTCCCCTCTTCTCTCTGGGTCTCTGTCCCCCTCCTCTCTCTGGGTCTCTGTCCCCTCCTCTCTCTGGGTCTCTGTCCCCTTCTTTCCCTCTCTGGGTCTCTGTCCCCCCTCCTCTCTCTGGGTCTCTGTCCCCCCACCCCCGGGTCTTTGCACACCCTCTCTGTCACAGTGTCTCTTCTGAATCTCTGAATGTCACTCTCTCCTCCCAGTGACTACACCGTGCACCTGGGCAGTGATACGCTGGGTGACAGGAAAGCTCAGAGGATCAAGGCTTCGAGATCATTCCGCCACCCTGGCTACTCCACACAGACACATGTTAATGACCTCATGCTCGTGAAGCTCAATAGCCGGGCCAGGCTGTCATCCACGGTGAAGACAGTCAGGCTGCCCTCCCGCTGCGACCCCCCTGGAACCACGTGTACTGTCTCTGGCTGGGGCACTACCACGAGCCCAGATGGTAGGTGGCCTCAGTGACCCAGGAGTCCAGGCCCCACCACCCCGCCCTCAGACCCAGGAGTCCAGACCCCAGTCCCTCCTCCCTCAGACCCAGGAGTCCAGACCCGTTCCCTCCTCCCTCAGACCCAGGAGTCCAGATCCCCAGCTCCTCCCACAGACCCAAGAGTCCAGACCCCAGCCCTCCTCCCTCAGACCCAGGAGTCCAGACCCCAGCCCCTCCTCCCTCAGACGCAGGAGTCCAGACCCTAGCCCCTCCTCCCTCAGACCCAGGAGCCCAGACCCCAGCCCCTCCTCCCTCAGACCCAGGAGTCCAGACCCCCAGCCCTTCCTCCCTCAGACCCAGGAGTCCAGACCCCAGCCCCTCCTCCCTCAGACCCAGGAGTCCAGACCCCAGCCCTCCTCCCTCAGACCCAGGAGTCCAGACCCCAGCCCCTCCTCCCTCAGACCCAGGAGTCCAGGCCCCCAGCCCCTCCTCCCTCAGACCCAGGAGTCCAGACCCCAGCCCCTCCTCCCTCAGACCCAGGAGTCCAGACCCCAGCCCCTCCTCCCTCAGACCCAGGAGTCTGGGCCACAGCCCCTCTGGCCCTCACCCCATCCTCTCTGACTGGCAGCTCTCCCTGCTCCTCCCTGCAGTGACCTTTCCCTCTGACCTCATGTGCGTGGATGTCAAGCTCATCTCCTCCCAGGACTGCACGAAGGTTTATAAGGACATGCTGGGAAATTCTATGCTGTGCGCTGGCATCCCCAACTCCAAGAAAAACGCCTGCAATGTGAGACTGTCCCCCCAATTCCTCCCCAGTCCTGGGTACCCTGTCTGCATGCCCCAGGGGCAGAGCTTGACCCAAGTGACTGGGCACTGAGCCTGGCCTTGCCCTCCCCCCAGGCCCGGCCTCCTCAGCTTTTTTCACCTCATTCTCTGCCTAGGTCAGGGGTGGGAGCTTGCTTAGGGGTCGATGTGGCCCTGGGGATGGGACAGAGAGTTTAATAGGGGTGAGAAAGTGGGGGCGGGACCAGGGAAGGAGAGTGAGGTGCTGGTCCCAGGCTCAAACCTTGAGGGGGCACCGAAAACCTCAGTGATTGAGATAAATCATAATGCAATATTTAAAAATAAAAAATAAAATTAATGCAGAAGCCCACGATGGATAAAATGTTTCCATTTTAAATAAAGAGCAGGTGAATCTTACTGAATTTTCCCTCGCCATAGGGGCCAGCGTGGCTCAGCACAGCACTGTACTGGCGCTGTCTTCATTTCAAATGTGGATACGATGTCCATCATGCAGTTTTGTGTATTACATTTGATTTTGTTAAATGCTGCATTGAAGTATTATGTATTACCGTTACTGAGATTTTGTGCCTGAAGCTGATGACACTCAACTGACCCTGGCCCTGGTCCCGGGGAAAACACTGTTTCCCTCCACCTCCTCCCTGTTCCCTCTTCCTGGCCTTTTGTCATTCCCTCTCTGTTTCTGAACAGTCTTCCCACATCTCTCTTTGTGACATAATTTCATTTCATCCTTTTCCTCTTTGTTCTTTCTCTGTGTTGAGCTAGCTTGCTCTCTCTCCCTTGCTGTCTCTCCACGTACTCCTCTCTGCTCTCTCTCTTCTCCCTCTTTCTCTCGCTTCTCTCTCTCCCCTCCCCTCCCTCTCTCTCCTTTCCCTGCCCCACTCCTCTCTTTTTTCCTGTCTCTCTGTCTCCTCTGTGGCCCTCTCCTCTCTCTCTCTCCCCCACTTCTTTGTCTCTCTTCATCTCTCTCCCTCCTCTCTCCTTGCCCTCTCCTTTCTACTCTGTCTCTCTCTCTCTTCTATCTCTCCCCTCCCCACCTGCTCCCCCATCTCTGTCTTTCTTTCTCTCTCTTTATTCTCCTCCTCTCTTCCAATCTGTCTCTCCTCTCCCCACCCCCACCCCATCTCTCTCCCCACACCTTCCCCCCTCTCCCTTCTCTGTCTCTCTCTTCTCCCTCTTTCTTCTCCACCCCCATCTCTCTCTTCTCCTCTTCCCACACCCTCCCCCCTCCCTCATCCCTTTCTCTCTCTCTTTTCTCCCTCCTTCTTCTCCACCCCCATCTGTCTGTCTCTCTCTCTCCCCATACCCTTTCCCTCTTCCCCATCTCTCTTTGTCTCTCTCTCTTTTCCCTCTTTCTTCTCCACCTCCAACTCTGTCTCTCCACATCCATCCTCCTTGCTCACATCTGCACCTTCAGCTCTCAGGGGATGTGGGATGGTGAGTGTTAGGGATAGAGGTGATGGCAGAGAGATGACTGTTCTAGAGAATAGGGTGTTCCCCTTCTCCCCTGGTAAGGGCCAGTTCCATGAATGTGCAAGCTCTGCACTGACACAGAGCCTCACACTCAGAAGTGTCTCAAACTTAGTCTAATGCATTCCTGTTGTTGTCTTGAAATTCTTAATAATTTCTGAACAAAGAGCCCTGCATTTTCATTTTGCACCAAGCCCTGTAAATTATGTAATTGGTCTTGACCCTGGTCTCCAAGACCATCGTGTCCCCCTTTCCCGTGCGAGACGGCATGCATCCACCCTTTGGAGATGATGTTTCTTCTCCCACTAGCTTGGAGCAGGGTCCTTAACATTGGAAAATAAAGAGTGCTCTGATCCGGAAGCCCCACCCCTTCTCTGCAATTGCTCTCATTGGCCAAGGGTGAAACCAGTGTCTTCAAAGGACCTAGTGTGTTCCTAGCACTAGCTCTCCCATTGGTCCCCAGAGACAATGAGTCTCTTCTCATTGGCTGTGGTGGAAGTCCATAATCTACAAGACGAAGACCGATAACTGAGGAATGTATGATAATGAGTTGGGTTTTGATCTGAAGCCAAAGTTAATCTCTGGCTCTATTCCCTCTAGGGTGACTCGGGGGGACCATTGGTGTGCAGAGGTACCCTGCAAGGTCTGGTGTCCTGGGGCACTTTCCCTTGCGGCCAACCCAACGACCCAGGAGTCTACACTCAAGTCTGCAAGTTCACCAAGTGGATAAATGACACCATGAAAAAGCATCGCTAACACCCCACCAAGAGTTAAATATAACTGTGTACTTCGAACAGAAAATGCACAGGAGTAAGGACGCTGATGACCCGTAAAGTCATATTTGACTTTACCTTTCCTCAGAGATATATGTAAACCTCATGCCCTGTTTGTAAACCAATCAAATTGGTAAAGACCTAAAACCAAAACAAGTAAGGAAACACAAAACCCAGGGTGCTGGAGAAGACTCAGTGAGACCGTCACTCTCAAACACTGGAAGTGGACGTTCTACAATCTTGATGGAAGACAGTTGGTCAACATACACCGAGACCCTTATTCACCACCTTTGATCCAGTAACGCTAGTCTTAGGAAGAACCTACTAAAAAAAAAAAAAAAAATCCAAAATGTAGAACAAGACTTGAATTTATCATAATAATATTTATCACAGAAATAAAGTGAAAACATCAAATATGTTCCAAAAGTACTGGATGGCTTAAATAATAGTCTGACTTGGCACAATGATTTTTTTTTTTTGTTTGAGACAGAGTCTCACTCTGTTGCCCAGGCTGCAGTGCAGTGATGCAATCTTGGCTCATTGCAACCTTTGCCTCCTGGATTCAAGTGATTCTCATGCCTCAGCCTCCCAAGTACCTGGGACTACAGGTGTGCACCACCACACCAGGCTAATTTTTTGTGCATTTTTACTAGAGACAGGGTTTCACCATGTTGGCCAGCGTGGTCTCGAACACCTGACCTCAGATGACCCACCTTGACCTCCCAAAGTGCTGGGATTACAGGCATGAGCCACAGTGCCTAGCCCACGATGATATTATAAACCTATTAAAAATGATTCTTAGACAGAATTGTTAGTATTATCCAAGAATGTTTAGGCTATATGATGCTAAATGACAAAAGGAAGAGACAAAAATATATATGTATATGAACTTAACCATAAAAAATAAAATATTCACAGAATCAAATCTGAAAACACATGTCCCAGACTGCATACTGGGGTCGTCATGAGGTCTCTCCTTCCTTCTGTGTACTTTTCGTTGAATGTGCGCTTTTATAACATGAAAAATAAAGGCAGGAAAAAAGTCTGAAGATCTGCGGTTGGAGAGAGAAGACTTTTCAGGAAGGGAGCCTAGAAAGAAAACTGTGACTGCTTTTCAGCCCTGGTCCTGCCCGCCCTGTTCCAGGGTATAGTTCCGTTTCCCAGATCTCAGTTTTTCCTTCCTGTAAAATGGGAGAGAGAAGAAAGGACGGAGAGAGGAAGAAGGAGGGGAGGAGGGAGGAGAGAACAGGCCGACTTCATCAGTGTGGGAAGGGGTGTGAAATTGCTTCTGAATATCTCACGAGTGACAAGTGAGGAGGGAGCCAGGCGGGTTTCAGAGGGATTGGGATGGTGGTAGACAGGACACAGGGGTCCCACAGGGGTCTGCCAGAAGTGAGCAAACAGTGCTGGAGGAAGACGGTGGCACCTGCTCCCCAAGAAGGGAGGGAAAGGAACCTCAGGAAGGAGGTAGGATGAGGGAGGAGTCCTCTGTGACTCAGAGCCTGGCCACACCCCCAGCCTTCTAACATCAAAGATCCTCTGTGCGGTCACACCTCAGACGCTGCTGACCGAGGAACCACTCTAGCCCAGGATGCGCCCCTCCTACCTGTTCTTCCTGTTTCTCTCCCAGAATTCTGTCCCCACCAACATCCTCCAGATCTTTCCTCTCCTTATCTCATCTCCCTCTGAGTCTCTCCTAACCCAGGCACCCCAGCCCTGTCATATTGCAGAAATTCTGCAGCCACTAATTCTGATTCTCCCATATAGGAGGCTAACACACAAAACACAGGAGTCCAGGATCCCAGCCCCTCCTCCCTCAGACCCAGGAGTGCAGGCCCCACCCCCAGCCCCTTCTCCCTCGGACCCAGGAGTCCAGATACCCCCACCAGCCCCTCCTCCCTCAGACCCAGGAGTCTAAGTCCCCTCTCAGCCCCTCCTCCCTCAGACCCAGAAGTCCAGGCCCCCCAGCCCCTCCTCCCTCAGACCCAGGAGTCAAGGTCCCCAGCCCCTTCTCATTCAGACCCAGGAGTCCAGGCCCCCAGCCCCTCCTCCCTCAGACCCAGGGGTCCAGGTCCCCTCTCAGCCCCTCCTCCCTCAGACCCAGGTGTCCAGACCCCCCAGCCCCTTCTCCCTCAGACCCAGGAGTCCAGGTCCCCAGCCCCTTCTGTTTCTGGGCCTGTCAAGTTTAAAGAATGTCAAAAATTTTCGACCACTCATTCCCCTGAAGTTTTATCAACATTTTCTCTCTCTTCTACAAACCACTCCAATATTCAATCTAGAATTTTTAAAAGTAACAAAACATTGCCTTTGCACTAAGTCAGCCTGGAGATCCCCGGCCCTGGCCCTCTGCTCTCCTATATGCAAGGTACAGGTAGATTGGTTTGCAATGATTGAGATGGTACTAATGTTGATTTTTTTTTTTTTTTTAAGTAATACATTTTTCTTTGGGTAAGGAGTATAGTGTGGTAGTTAAGGGATTAGCTCCGAATCCTGGCTTCTTAGGTTCGAATCCCAGTTCTAGCCCCTACAAGCTATTTCCTTTAAGCTCATTAGTTCCCCCGTCCCTGTTCCTTCATCCTTGAAGTGGGAGAAAAAGCACCTATTTCTAGGGTTATTACAGAGATTCAATAAGTTAATATACAGAAAGCGCTCAAACATTTTATGGCACAGGGTAAGCCTTCAATGGGCATTGGTTTTAGTTTTTGTTTGTTTTGTTTTGTTTTGTTTTTGAGACAAAGTCTTGCTCTTGTTATCCAGGCTGGAGTGCAATGGCGCGATCTCAGCTCACTGCAACCTCCGCCTCCCAGATTCAAGTGATTCTCCTGCCTCAACCTCCCAAGTAGCTGCTATTACAGGCGACTGCCATCATGCCCGGCTAATTTTTGTATTTTTAGTAGAGATGGGGTTTCACTATGTAGGTCAGACTGGTCTCAAACTCCTGACCTCAGGCGATCCGCCCACCTCGACCTCCCGATGTGCTGGGATTACAGGCGTGAGCCACCGCGCCTGGCCTAGGCATTGGTTTTTATTGTTTATGACTTCTGGCACTTTTTTCTGCTTACAGTCTCATGAAGTTTCCTTATAAATTTTTTTTCTTTTTTTGATATAGGGTCTTGCTGTATCATCCAGGCTAGAGTGTGGTGGCATGATCATAGCTCACTGCAGCTTCAATCTCCTGGGCTCAAACAATCCTTTTGCCTCAGCCTTTTGAGTAGCTGGGATCACGCCTGGCTGATTTTTTTTTTTTTTTTTTTTAGTAGAGATGGGGTCTCACTATGTTGTCCAGGCTGGTCTCTAATTCCTAAGCTCAAGTAATCCTCCCCCTTCAGCCATCCAAAGTGCTGGAATTACAGGTGTGAACCACTGCACCCAGACAAAATAATCTATTTATTGAAGATTTTTGCAGAGCAAGTCAGTCTGGAATAGAATATCCAGTAAAGAAGCATTAAAGTATGCAGAGATGGCAAACCATGAAGGTCACCAGAGAAGTGGTAGAGTTAGGAGTTTCTTTCTCTTCAAAGTCCCTCCACTCCCCACAGCCTAACACCTCTCTTCTTTCCCCACCCAGCTCTCAACAATTCCTCCCAAGTTCACTCACCTCGTACTGTCATAAGATAGACCCAGCCAGGCCACCGAGGGATGGGCCACATCCACTGCCGTGTCGGAAGTTGAGTTCCCATTCAGGCTCCACCATTTCCTGGATGTTTGATGTTGAGCAATGAACTTCCTGTTCTGAGCCTCAGTTTTCTTATCTGTAAAATGGGAGTGGGTGTGATAAAGTCATTTAGTCATTTGATCAGTCTTTCCTAAGGCTGATTCTGGGCCAGGTCCTGTGTGGTTGCTTGGGACACAGGGATGAGTCAGTCCCGTACCTGCCCTCAAGGAGCTCATGGTCCAGTGGAAGAGACGACGAATGTCAATCCAGGTGGCCCCCGTCCAGGGTGAGTTGAGGGAGACACCTGCTGTGGGAACCTACGTGAGAGAATGAGTAGGTGGAAGTTGGGTGGTGTTCAGGGAAGGTTTCCTGGAGGAGGTAATGTCCAAGCAAAGACTTGAAGGACAGGTTATTGCCAGGAAAAGGTGGGGAAAACATGCTAAGAAGAGAGAATAGGCTGGGTGCGGTGGCTCACACCTGTAATCCCAACACTTTGGGAGACCGAGGTGGACAGATCATCTGAGGTCAGGAGTTCATGACCAGCCTGGCCAACATGGTGAAATCCCATCTCTACTAAAAATACAGGCATGGTGGCATGTGCCTGTAATCCCATCTGCTTGGGAGGCTGAGGCAGGAGAATTGCCTGAACCCAGGAGGCAAAGGTTGCAGTGAGTAGAGATCACGCCACTTCACTCCAGCCTAGGCGACAGAATGAGAGTCCGTCTCAAGAAGTAGAGGGAACAGCATTCAGTGAAGGGCCAGAGGCCAGACGGCATGGCATGGGTCAGGGAAGCTTGATGTGTTCTAGAAAGCTGGAGCCACACGGAGATGTAGGCATAGCTGTGTCATGCAGTGTGAGGGCCACTCACCACTCAGGACTCTTTTTAAAAAAATTTTTTGACAGGATTTGGCTCTGTCACACTGGAGTGCAGTGGCATGACTATGGCTTACTGCAACCTGGGCCTCCAGGCTCAAGGAACTATCCACGTCAGCCTCCTGTAGAGCTGGTACCACAGATGTGTGCCACCACACCTAGGAAATTTATTTATTTATTTATTTATTTATTTTAGAGAGATAGGGTCTCACTATGTTGCCCAGGCTGGTCTTGAACTCCTAGGCTCAAGTGATCTTCCCACCTCTGCTTCCCAAAGTGCTTGGATTACAGGTATGAGGCACCTTGTCCAGCCATGTCCAGGGCTCTTGATGGCTTAAAATGAGCTCCAACTGAGACATCTGTAAATATATATGACACAACAGATTCCAAACACTCAGGGTGCCAAAAAGGAAGAAGGGCAAATAATCCCTTTACTAATTTTCTTATTTTTATTTAATATGATAATATTTTGGATATATTGAATTCCACGAACTATTAGAATTAGCTGCTCCTGTTTCTTTTTAATTTTTACTTTCTTTTAAATTTATCTATTATTATTATTGAGTCAGGGGTCTCGCTCTGTTGCCCAGGCTGGGGCGCAGTGGCACAGTCACAGCTCACTGTAGCCTCGACCTCCCAGGCTCAACAATTCTCCCACCTCAGCCTCCTGAGTAGCTGGGACTACAAGTGTGCACCACCACATCTGGCTAATTTTTTTGTTTTTTGCAGAGATGGTTTCTCACTATGTTGCCCAGGCTGGTCATGAACTCCCAGACTCAAGCCGTCTACCCACCTTGGCCTCTCAAAGTGCTGGGATTACAGACATGAGCCACCATGCTTGGCCTTAAATTTATTTTTTAATCGACAAGTAAAAATTGTATATATTTCTGGTGTATAACATCATGTTTGATATACATATGTATACATTGCGGAATGGCTAAACCAAGCTATTTAACATATGCATTATTTTACACCCTTAGTTTTTGTGGTAAGGACACTTAAAAAATCTTCTGACTTAAAAAAAGTGTGGTGATTGGAAAACATAAATGTGCATGCGTGCTTGGCATCACATTTCATCGGCCAGGGCTTCTCTGGATGCTAAAGGTTCTCAAACGTCAGGCTGGGGGGCTGGGACTCGGTCCCAAGAGAGATGGGGACCCAGGGCAGGGCTGTGAGAGGAGAGGGAAGGTCAGCACAAGGCACAGGAAGGCCTCTCTGGGGTCAGGCGAGGGATACAGAGAACAGAGGGATCCTGGTCCAGGTGGGAGAAGGTGCAGCTCTGAGTTGGGGTTGGGGGTGTGGGGACAGAGAGGAAGGGATCCCCCAGAGAGAGGAGGCAGAGGGATAGGGCCTGGTCACTGGGCTGTGCAACGTCAGACCTGCTGTCTGTGAGGATGGCAGGTCCTGAGAAGAAGATGCTGAGGTCAGTGGGGACCAAGTGTGAGAGGGAGCACCCAGAGAGGATACTGAACACCAAAGTAGTCTTCTTCCCTGGAGTGATGGGGGCTGGGCAATG